TGGCACGGGCCAGCCATGGGTGTCTTAACTCCAGTGTAGACATACCCCCATTCTACTTAGCTCTTTCCTCCTCTCCAAGAGCCCTATTTCTCCCAGCAACCAAAGCTGTAGCAACCACTGGCGCACCACACTGCCCGGCCACCAACTGATTCTGATGGAGGATGAAAAGGCTTAAGTGGGAATTAAGTGGAGCATAGGCCCAGTGCTGGGCACTGCATAGGGGTGAGGAGTTTCACACATTATGGACACTAAAAACAACAACATGGAACTGTCAGGACAGCTCCTGGCTTTTCCTCCTACATTTCTAGAGACCAGGATTCTTTAAAAACAGAACTGGAGTTTGCATTCAATTCTCCTGACTATTCATACATTCTATTACCAAAATGTGGAAGCAGATGATGGGTGGCTGGACAGCACCGTCTATGGACTCCAATTTATCACTCACTATTACTAAGTAAAAGAAACCAAAACAATTATTTCTGTACAACTCCTGTAGGATTTGCATGCAGTTGCTTCCTGCAATTCAGAGCAATCAGTACTTAACAGTAAATAAGCCCAAATGTCAGCCCTCCTTTGGTTTCTCACTTCTGGTTAGCAACTTTTCAGCCAGTAGGAATGTAATGTTTGCATACCTGGGATTATAACAAGTTTGCTAACTTGACTTTTCTAAATGAAAACATTTTCAGCCAATCTAATAAAGATTCTAGGAGTGTTTCAAGAGACAAGCCCCTGAACTAGAGCCCTTTTTATTACCTTTTCACTTAGCTCTGTTTGCACAAGAATTGCTTTTCCAGGAAAGTAAATCAGGGCACTCAAGTGAGGACACCCCTTTGTGAGTAAAGCTGGCTGCCACCATTCTAGGGCCTTTAATTGGCTTTTCAGAGATACATTAACTCTGCACATTGCAGGCAAAACACTCAGCGCTCTCGTGGACAGGAAAGGTTGCGGGCACGCCTGGTTTAGTGTGGAGATGCCTGCATTTGTATATTCTGCCTTCTGCAAAGTTAGTCTTAGGGTAAGCCCAACAAAGAGAAAATCTAGCACCTAAAAATTAAAAAAAAAAAGGGGGACTAATTAAATAGCAAAGAATAATGGGGCAGGGTTTGTTGTGTTTGAGGATAGCCGTTGGCTAAATACACGTTCCTCTAGTCTGCTCTTACTTTTACTGTGAGTAAAAACTGAAATTGTCTACATATTTAAATAATGAAGTGTGAGAAGGATTTTATTCCTGCTTTAAGGGCCTGATCTAAAGCCAATGAAATCCTTGGAAAGATTCGCACTGACTTCAAAGGGCTTTGGTTCAGTCCTATATGCAAATTTCTATGCAACCTTAATGAGAAATATGCTAAAGTGCCTCCATAATTTTCTTGTGTGAAAAAAGAGGACAGAACCTGTCTTTGCTTTTTGTGTATTGTGCAGCACCAAGTACTTTATCAGCATTTATCAAATATCTCCTTATCTTGTTCATTTCTTATTCTGCACTCAACAATTCCCTTTTTCATACTGCAACACAGGAACATTGTTAGTCAAATTTGGCCAAAAATTTACCAGCAGGTTGTGTGAAGATAAGTCTTTACATAACTTAAGACCAATAGAAATGTTTCCCTGCATTTATTTATTTTTAATTCCAAATGAATGCGTTATAAATAGAAAACAAAGCCATAACTTTACAGAGCCCATACATAGTGGCCTGGTGCTAGGGAAACCCTGAAAGCGTTATGGACTAGAGACACAAGATACCTTCCATTGAAATCAATGGCAAAATTTCTATTAAGGTCAATGGCAAGCAGGAGCAGACTATAGAAGCTAAGCATTTGCAAATAATACCACTTAGCTCTTATATGGCATTTTTCATGCATGGGTCTTAAAGTGCTTTATAAAAGGAAGGGAAGATTTATTATCTCCATTCTACAGATGAGGAAATGGAGGCATGGAGAGGTGAAGGGACTTGCCCAAAGTCACACAACAGAGCAGTGACAGAGTCTGGAACACAATCCAGCTCTTCTGATGCTCAGTTCAGTGCCCTGGACCATGTTGCTTCCAGCTATTATATTTCAATCATCCAAGCTGTATGAAATTCCCAACCACCAGTAAATAATGAAAAGTAAATTAAATCTAAGATTATTTTGGCTTTTATAAGTGAGGGTGTAATTTGTAAAACAGGAAAGGATTTTTTTAAATATATAAAACATTTTTAATTGAAAAAAGTCTTTTGAGTTGGGATATATACAATCAGTGCTGTGGGGTGACATTTAGGGGGTTGAACTGCTCTCTTTAAACTATTCCCGCCTTTGACCAGAAAGGTACAACTTCAGCTTGTTTTCCTTTGGCTCTTTGTTCACCAGACACTTTTGGTTGCGGGGTCTGGACTGGATTAGGGGCCGCTACCATGCTGAGAGAGACAGAGGACAGTGCTCTAGTGCAGTGCTCCAATCCAATCCAATCACCTATCACATTTTCCAATACAGCATTCATACTTCCAGCTGCCACAAGGTCATCAGCATTAGCTTAAATCAAACATCCTCTGGCTCTAGGTCCCATGATGAAAAATTTATGGAGTCCTGGACATGGTACAAGTTTTACAGCTTTATGGATGAAATTCTTCAGGTCTCTCTGACCTACTGAAAAAAGGTTTTATTTTATTGTAATCCCCAAATGTTCAGTTTTGTGTGTGCGTTTTTCCTACAGAATGTGTGCATTGCTTCCAGCAATGTGTTTTGTATTACCTGGAAGAACAGAAAAGCACTAATGGGAGGAAACAACTCGATTCTTATTGCCAGTGCAACACAAAACAGAACTTCCAAACAATACAATGGCTTCTCGACCAAAGCCATCCTGCTTACCTTGGGGTCTTGGAGCCTAGTTCTCTACTCTATTTTACACTTTCAGTGGGGCTAAACTGGTATAAAAAACAGCATAATGGAGTGAAAACTCGGGCCCTCAGTCTTTTTTTTTTTTCCATGTCACAAGCTAAGTAAGCTGCTTGACTTTCCAGTTTATACCTATCCCAGACAGCATCCATGGAAAGTAATCTGCCTTCTCTTGCCATTAGTCCATCTTTTGTGTGTAAGACACACATGGAATGTGTGTTCCTCTTCATAAACTCAGTCTCCTTCCCAAAGAACTTCCAGTGAAACTTTTATAATCTATTTATCAAGAAATTCAGAGAGGGTGCAGGAAATAGCCTTCTCTAAGCCCTAGATATAAACGTTTCCTGGCAAAGGATGCTGTCTAGGAAAGATCCCTGTGGTCTTTCTGCTGCACCAACCTGGTTTCACTTTGGGCTTTTGTTTTTACAAAGCCATGTTTGGGCCACCTCACCTTGACTGTGAAGTCTGCACTGAGAGGCCCAGATATTCTCAGTATCTCCTTGTCCGGAAACTTCTGGAAGTCGACGCTAGAATTGTCCACCAGGAAGGAGCCTGTGGAGCTGAGGCTGTTTTCGCCCTTCACACCTTGTAGAGTCTTGGTTTCCAAATCTGACAACCACAAAAAAGATTATCCAGAGCAGGAAAGCACGTGACAGTGACAAAATAATAATACCATGGGGATGGAGTGTAATAAATAGTAAAGGAAAACCAGGCCCAAATTAACCAACGTGCACTCAGTGCCTCTCGGGGGGGCGAGGGGGCAACCACCAGTTTTGTGTGGCTGGCATTGGAACTGAGCAAAACTGATTGGCGTTGCGGCCTTGTACAAAGGGTCACAGAGCCACTCAGGTTTGGCCTGGATGCCCCTCCATCATGACGGGGAAGGGGGTTGGGGGGAAGAGTGGGATTGGTCAGGACAAATTTGAGTGAGTGGCATTGTGCCAAGTGATCCAAATCCAAATCTCAACCTAGTGACTTCATCTGTGCCCCACTATCCCAAATCTTCGCTGAGGCAACATCTCATTCCAAAATAAAAAAAGATCTTGGATTGACCTTTTCTCTCTTCTAAAAATTTCCTCTCTTGGCTGCCATACAGCTTAATTCTATTGCAAACGTTTGCTAGGTTGGGAAAGAGCATGTACGCTGGGAGAGAAGGCAGGAGCAAGGGAAGAGAGAAAGTAATTTACAGGGAAAGGAATAACAACTACACTAGAGCAGGCCAGGAATACCCGACGGTCCACTTAAAAATTATGCATTTCAGAGGATTTGAACTTTTAAGAAAATGTTATGTATTTTTTGTTCTAGTTTATAACCTGTAATTTGCTGGTCATTATTCACAGCTCTAAATCTAAACAGCTATAAAAAGATTATTAAGTAACTACTGCTGTCTCAACACAAATAGCAGATCATATACTGGGCTTTCCAAACACCCTTTCCATTGTACCAGGATGCAAGCACTTTGGCATGATTGCCTGTGCATTTCAGCTCTGTGCTATTACTGGTGCTCTGTTAACGTTGACATATGGCTTGCTGTCTCTTAGGCAAGGTCTACACTACCGCGGTAGTTCGACGGCTGGCAATCGAACTTCCGGGTTGGATTTATCGCGTCTGGTCTGGACGCGATAAGTCGAACCAGGAAGTGCTCGCCGTCGACTGCGGTACTCCAGCTCAGCGAGAGGAGTACCACGGAGTCGACGGGGAGCCTGCCTGCCGCGTGTGGACCGCGTCTGAACTGCGGTAAATTCGAACTAAGGTATGTCGACTTCAGCTACGTTATTCACGTAGCTGAAGTTGCGTACCTTAGATCGAATTGGGGTGTTAGTGTAGACCAGGCCTTACTGGGGTCTACGCTGTCAGAAAGTTGTATCCAAACTTAAGGGGAAAAAACCACTACAGTATTTTGTAATTGCCCCAAATGCTACATCTTACCAGTTACACCACTTTGAGTGTTTGGGGCTATTGTTAGAGAATACTGCAGCATTTTCTTCTATAAAAGCATGGGCAGCATACTCAGCTCACTTCCGTTTTGATCTATCTTCAGTGCCACTGCTGAAAAGGAGGCAGCAGGTGGCTGGCTACTGCATGGGTATGAAAGAGAGGGGAAGAGTACAAAGAGCTTTACTGCCCTGCCTTGTGTCCTTGCCCACAGACCAGTCAATGCTGTGTTCTCCTGAGTGCAGAGAATGTTCTCTGCTTGCACGCTCTGGGGTACATGGCACTCCAAAAGGTACAGGGAGGAAGCAGGGCCATCGTCCCCTCTCCCGCTCCCTCCACACCAGCTGCAGATGTTGCAACCATGAAAGGGTTAGTCTAATAGTCAGTGGGCTCATCCCCGCTGGGCAAGGTGACTCCTTAACTGCACAATTTGGCTCTACACGTGTATCTTTTCTATTCTTCTCACCGTAGATGAATGGGGGGGGGGGGGTATGTGGGATAAAAAGAGCAAGAGATTTGCATACGAACAGAAGCATGTGCTAAACTCATGAGCAGTTTGATGACAGAGCTCAGCAGCAGGGAAGCTTGTCCTCTAACCTCCTCAGTATCTCTGCAGTCAGTAGGATTTTTTTTTTTTTTTTTTTTAAACAGAAGTGCTTGTCATCGAACGAGTCAGCCAAAAGATGAACACATAGAAATGGTTGAAAAATTGTGGCGGGACAGCAAGATTCTGAGCCTCTGGCCACATTCTACTTTCAGATGCATGTGCAAGTCCACTGATTTACTGGGATTGTCCAGAGCACCTGAAGGCAGGATTCTGTCCCGTGCTGAAATCAGTGATTTGAGAGAAAGAAACCAGACATTCCTGTTGTAAATAAAACACCAGAGGATGCCAAGGCTCTTATAAAGCAACACCACGCTGGCTTTTTCTACTTACGTAAGTGATCAGGTCCTTTCAACACTAGACGAACATGCCTACTTCCATAGGGAACAGCGACAACAGTATCTTCCGCTGCAGAGAAATGCAAAAATGCATGGAGTCAGTAAGCAAAGGAAGCCTTCCTGTCTCCAACCAAGCATTGAAAGAGCTGTTCACAGGAAAATTAAAAGCCAAGCTTTTGGTACCATAACCCTTCCACACACCCCCCCCCCCCCCCCCCCCCCCCCCCCAAAGTCCTGACAAAAGGCAAAGGTCAGCAGTCATCTTAAAGGGATGTTCACATTCTGACCTACTGATTTTATTTATACTCCACTATTACCCAAGTGTCTAAAGAGGGACTGTCAGTTTTTTATTTCACCTGGCCTCCAATTAAAACAAAGCATATCTTACTCTTCCAAATTATTTTGGCATGTATATTTGTGCTGAATTAGGGAAGTATAAAAATATTCAAATGTTCAAAGGGAAAAGTTAAAACACTGAACTCTAGAACTCCCTGTTCGTTCACATGCCACATGATCCTCTCCCAGCTGAACCCCCAAGACCCTTTCCCTTCCACATGCCTTAGCATGCCATGTGATCTCCCAGCTAAACTCTGCAACTCCTGTCTCACAGCACACCCTACTAAGGCATGCCCCTGTTGTGGTGGTATAATTGTGTTTTCCTTTCCATACCATCCCCAAAAAGCCATGGTAGTACACGGGCCCATTAGACCTGCAGCATAAACAGGCTCTTGGGGCCTGATTCTGCACCACTGAAGTCATTGGGAGCTTTGCCACAGACTTCAATGGAAGCCAGTTTGCGCCCTTAATGAGTCCAAGGCAGGAGTCACTAACCTGCTCTCTCCTGCAGTTTACATGCTACTGTTAGACCAATGATGCTAAAGAACCAACTATCTCAATAGCATCTTGGTGCTCTGTGGGGGTATAGGAGGAGAGAGTGTTGTGGCTCCAGAGAGCAGATTCCTCACCTTCCTTCTAATCAGCTGCTAAGCCGGGCAGACAGGAGAGTGCTCAGCTACACTCAGTAGCAGCCTCAGGCTGTTCCCTCCTCCTCTCTCTGCTTCCTGTCTCCCTCCCTCCTCTCGAACTCAATGCTGACAATTGGGGGCAGGAATCAAAACAGTGTTGTCCCCCTCAAAGCTGAAATTTGCACGGGAATGCAACCCCCATAAAATTATTCCCAGGTTGAATCATGTGACTCCCTTCGACTAGGAGCTGTGAGGCCCTGCTTTGAAAGCAGCAGGGTGCTATTTTGGCACGTGAAAGCAACACAGCCAGTAAGAGGCTAGCTTTCATCTGAAGATCTGAACTGTCACTGGGACTTTCTGAACAGTGGGTCAGACATGGGCAAGGAAAATAAAAAGTTTTACAGTACTCAGGCCCAACCCTGGATCCTAGAATGATGAGCATTTCTATTAAAAACAACCGATTGTGAAATAGTTAACAAGGTCAACATTTTAATTGTCATTATTGTGGTTCAGAATCAACACCCTGTTGTGATGACTAGGGCAGTTCAAACATCTCTTAGAACTATTCTTTCTGTCTGCAGGCTCAGGAAGATGACATGTGCTCTGTTCTCTCTTCTGTTTTATTCATAATAACAACAGCCAAAAAGTTATCCACTGTATGACACTGCCTCACAATGATTTTCCATAAAGGAAAGCTTTGGGTTCTTCGTGGATATATTTAAAATGTTGCAGACAGTGGGGAAAAGGTTGGTGGAGCCTTTAAAACTACATCTATGAACATTTTTAGTACAAATGTATGTTCATAAAAGTTAATGGACTGAGAGTGCTGAAAATAGAAAGTCTCTGTTTACCCAGAGGTCATGGAAAGTGCAAGCAAAGACAAACTCTCCATTTTAGCCCTCAGTGTGCTCAACTCTGCCTTAAAAGGGCTCCCCCCTCCATGATTCCCCACCCTTACTCTTTTGCAAAAAGTGATTCAGTGTCCACACTACTGTATGACCCTCTGATGACCAGATATTAGCACCTCTGTCAAATTCAGTGTATAGTTATGGAGTCTGTTTATAAGCCAAGTTAAAGTCTTGTAACTCAGTTCACCGAGTCATGTCACCGTCTAGACTTGTAGGTGTAAGACCAGTTCAGTATTTACAATATTTTCTATCTAGCTGCCTGATCAATAGGCCATAAATCTCATCTGGTCCAGACACTACAAAACTGTTCCCTTTTTTGGCCCGGTGCAGCTTTCAAAGCATGAGTGAAACCCTGAATAGAAGATACAGCTTTCATTTATGATTGGCTGGAATATCACTAAAGAAAGCTTTCTTCCTAGGGAAAATATTTGGGAGCCATTAAGTCCATAATCAACTTAGGACTGTCAGTGCTGGGAAAAAGTTCAGCAAGCTTCCCTGCTGATGTCCTAAAGGATCTTTTATCAGCTGATGCCAGTTTGTTTTTGTGGAACAGTGGCCAAATAAGAGCTGACAGTATGTGTATGTGCATGGCAAGGAGAGGTGGAGTAGGAGGAGTGGGAAGCCGGAGGAGGAAAAGATAGGGATTCTTTTATACAGTAATGATAGTAAGTTCACTCAATAAACATTTGATTATCCAAACCCTGGTTAACCAGAACACTTTCTTATCCAAGGTTTGGCTATGTCCCTAGGGGTTTGCTGAAACTATTGTCCAAAAGATCTCCCAAATACTCTAAGACCAGATCCTAGAAGCAGCACAAGTCTGAGCTGGGGTCCAACAGTACTGGACTGATCTCTTCTGCAGCACAATTGTGCAGAACCCTTAGGCTCTGCAGAGCTAAAGCTCCAGTCTCGGGGAGCTCCTACACTTTGCAGAATAGAAGTTGCAAAGCCAGCTAGACTTGGTGAAGCCGGCTAGTGTCTATAATTGGGAGAGCAGCCTAGAGGATTTGAAGACTGTGTTCAGGGTTTCCTGACGCTAATTAGAGAAAATTATCCCAGCAGATTTTGAAAACTATTACCCTAACCCAAAATAATCCAAGGCTTCAGGTGTCCTCTGAGACCTTTAGAAAATTGAAGTTAAAACAGTCAACTGTGTTCTGTAATGTATCCTGCAAGTGTGTGTGTCTGGTATCATTCATGATAGCAAACACAAATTTCTTTCATTTTTACACATAGGTTCTTGTTCAATTATTTGACCAGCTATAGATTCTTACCTGTTTCACTGTGTATTAACAGATTTCCCTGTTACCCTTGTGACAATAATGTTTAAGGAACCCAGTAACATAAGTATCTTTTCTTGCATGAGGTTCATGACTATGACATATAGTTTCCCTGCTTATCCAGTTTTCTGAGTGGGTTTCAGAAAACAGAATATAGTGTCACGTTTCCAAAAATGTTAATATTCCCTTTACAAATGATATATTTAAAAAAATCACTAGACCTCCCCATCTGTATTAGAAATCTTATTGTTCAGTAGCTCACACTGACAGGGTTCCCTTTGTTTTATGAGTTTTGTGCTGAAGAAAATAGAGAAAATTGTCCCAGCAGATTTTGAAAACTGATTAGTGTCAGGATACCTTGAACACAGTCTTCAAATTAAAGACCTACTAATGTGCCATGGAACAATTGGAAAATCTTATTGTTTAAAGACCACTCAGCTTATATCGCATAACTTCTTTGCATTCTCTCTCTCTCCATTTTATTACTAGGGATATAATTCACCTGCTCTTGTTGCTTATTCTCCATGTGAAATCATAGCACGCTCTTTGTGAACTAGCATCTCTCCAGGGGATTCCTTATTATCATAGCACATCCTGGAAAGTCTCAGCTTATGTAAAGCAGCAGCAAGACAGTAGGGCCATTTCTTGGGGCTTATGAGGAGGAGAAGGGAAGTGGACACATTCCTCCCTCATCCCCAAGAAGAGACATGGTGGGAGTGGGAGAACACCTGGTGACTGAACCCTCAGACAAACAATATGGAGAGAAGAGGGTCAACTGGCTGCCCTATGAAGCTGAATGGAGAGAGGGTGGGGAAGAACATGAGGCCTCTGGCTCCTTCCTCAGAAGATACATAAAGGTATTGTGAAGAGGGAGCCCTGGCCTGATGGGTGGAGGGAGACAGAGGAATTGTGGAGGGGATACAAAAGTCCATGATCCGCCCAAGTCTTGATGTTTCAAGAGCATGCATAGAAATCCAAAGTCAGATCAATTCTCCTGGCTTTGGGTTTTGATGCAAAAAGTCTGTGCAGTCCTACCAACGATACTCATGCTTAAGGGCAGGATCAGAAAAATAATTAACCCCCCATTGTCTAGTAGCATTGTATGGGGATGGTGGAGCTGTAACTACATTTGAAGTATGTCAGAAAGACAAGGTATATAAAGTAATATCTTTTATTGGACCAACCTCTGTTGGTGAAAGGTACAAGCATTCCAACTACACCTCTACTCTGATATAACGTGACCCAATATAACATGAATTCGGATATAACGCGGTAAAGCAGTGCTCCGGGGGGGGCGGGGCTGCGCACTCCGGCAGATCAAACCAAGTTCGATATAACATGGTTTCACCTATAACGCGGTAAGATTTTTTGGCTCCTGAGGACAGCGTTATATCGAGGTAGAGGTGTATACAAAATTCTTCTTCAGGACCTGAAGAACGAATGCACTCTTTTGTACCAAAATCTTTTAATTATCTTAATGGACTTAAAAGGGCATCAGCACAGCTGTTTCTCCTGTAGAAAAATGCAGGGGGGAAATCAAGGACACATCTTTTCCTACCCTGCTGCATTTCAATTGCTGATGCCTTTGGCACAGATATACCGTCCCTATAAATACTGAGGAAGTCATTTCTGTAGCAAATGCTAACTGCTTTTAAGCTCTGTGAACGTCTTCCCTTTCTGGCATTATCCTTCCTCCACCTATCTGCATGGTATAAACAGTGTGGAGAACAGAGCTAGATACAAGCACCAAGAGAAAATGAATTCAGTGTGATGAGCACTACAGCACGTTTGGGATGGTTTTGAGAAAATAAACCATTTCCAGCAACTCTTGGCACACTAGAAAAAAGCCGCTGCCCAATTCCTCCAGCACAGCCTGAGAAATGCATGTTTGTAAATGTTCCAACGAACATCAAGGGTAATAAAATCATACACATGCCCAGGGGACACCTACGATGACTTCTAGCCACCTGCTTCACATATGCTCCTACTGATTCTTCCTATCTCACATAACAACATGGTTCAAAAGTCTCTTATTGCTGCCCTCAGAGCTTTTCCTGGGGGACACAGGAAAGAAGCATGAGAAAAGAAACGTGTCCTTCCTGGGTCAAGCAATTCTTTTTAAAGAAAAGGCCTGAGATTAAACTGGCCACTACTCAAAAGTCACCACCCATCCCAGAGAACAGACTAAGCCCTGATCCTGTGAACACTTAAGTACATGCATATATTTTACTCTTGGAATTAGTCCTACTAACTTGAGTGGGGCTATTCAGATGAGGAAAGTTATCCGTGTGCTTAACTGCTTGCAGGATCAAGGTCTAAGGGCCCAATTCTGCCTTCAGACAGGCATGCATGACCTGCACTGGGTGAAATTTTTGGTCAAATAGTAAATTTGTTGAAAAACAGTTTTGGGGCCACTGAAAATATTTGCAAATATTGGTTAAATCAATTATTCCCTCAGTTCTATGCAGGACTCCAGTTGTTCCTCTGGAAGTTACAGGTATATCTGAGAGGGCTCTAACAAAATTTCTTAACCTGGTTTTTCTTGTCAGATGTTTGATGCGTGCTGAATGATATGGAGGGAGGTTACCTTGTACCTCGCCACCATGTACATGTTTCTGCCTGTTGTTTCTTGTCTTATACTTAATTGCAAGCTCTTTGGATCAGGGACTGCATTTTAGTTATGTGTTTGTACAGTGTCAACAGTGCCCCGATGCTTGATGGGGGGCCATTAGGTATTACTACAGTACAAATAAATGATGATAAAAATGAGCTATTCATAAAATACATTTGTAAAGACATTCAGAAGTGATTTCAAGTCTGAGGACTGCGCAATCTGCTCATGAACATTTCAGAGGCGAGATTCCACTCCTTGCTTTGCTATGAATTATTCCCTCAGCTCTGCCATATGCAGTCCTACCTCAACAATGCCAACTCCTTCCACAGATGATTCCTTCCCATCCTCCGTACAACAGAAGGTCTCAGCCATCTCCCTCCCACCTCAACTAGCACATTAAGATGCAGAAGGTCACTGTGCTAATGAGTGGTGTGTGCTGTGCTCCCTGCTCAACAAGTTATTCTCTGACAGAGCAAAGATGATTCTGTAAACAAACACCTCTCATTGTTCCCCACAGAAACCAAATGCAAATATAAACAGCAAAATATCCAACAGGAATCCACAAATGTACATACACACTCTCACAGGAAATTAGTGTTATTTGAAACGTTTAGATCATGTACCATGCAGCATTAAAAAAAAAGAATTATAAAAATATAGATCTGGCTCATGTAACTCCAATGGAACTCACTGAAAGAGTAAAGCACGTGCAGGTATTGTAGGAAAAAGCATGAGCTCCCTTAGGGTTAGACTCAACTTGTAGCATAAAGGGCAGCATAGCTACACCATCCCAAGAGGAGCTCTGGTGTAGAAATGTGCCCCAGAAAGACATGACAATTCCTCCCCTGCTCCCCCGGTACTGGTGGAGTAGCATAAGTTACTTCTTCACCCCTATTCAGGATGCAACACACTCCAGGCTATGTGCCCAACCAGCTAACCTGAGTAGTGAGTGGAGTGGATGAAGCCAACCCTCTTCCCATTCCCTACCCACTATCTTGAAAGTGGGAGTAACGGGCAAGAAGTCCCTGCTTTCCTACTCTCTTCTCTCTGCAGACAGCACCACAATCTGAGCAGTTCTTACTTAGCCAAGAAGGGGTTATTGAGGATGGAGAGGACATGGCCTGACTCTACCTTACTCCCCTGCATGGCTTAATAAGGCCTGGGGACAATCTAGCTCTTAAGAAGCTTGTGTACTTCACTAAGAGGAGGAAAGTTGGCATTTTACCCGCCTACTTGTCCCTCTGACACCTCATCACCACTTTCAGTTCAGAGGGCTTGTTCTACCCTTTGAGGTTAAAGTCAACAGCTTACGTTTATTTGCTGAGAGCTGGGATTTATACTGGCCTCGAACCAGCCGGCAGGTGGACCCATCGCCATTGCAGACCCCACAGTTATCTTCCTTGACAGTGCTTCCCAGCTGGTGATCACAGCCAACGATCTAACAAGAAAGAAAGATGTGCAGTTCAAACTGAGCACCTACTGACTGCTGGATACATCTCTGCAACTAATTACCGCCAAATTTCTCTCACATCATCTCCAGAGGGCCATAAAGTACATTAGCAATGAAAGAATCTGAATGAATCTGGCTGAGAGCTTCAACTGAACTCAGGAGCTAGATACTCAGCAGGTCTGCACTAAATGGCTTTTGCAGTTCAGAGAAAGAAAAAGCATGTTGATTTTTTTAGGGTCCTGTGAATGCTTCTTGGTAACTGTCCTATCAGAGATAACGTTTTTAAAAGGTTTATAAAGAAAAATAAATGATTCTAGTTAGACTGATAGATACATACAGAACAGATAACTAAAAAGCTCTGCTGTGATCCCAGTAGTGTCTTACCTGATACGCAATTGGGAAAGCCATGTGGTTTTAATTACATTTGACAATAATCCCATTCCACACAATCAAAGCCAGCGTTCGGATAATGTTAAGGATTTGATGAAGGAGGGGAAGAATGGTTAAAACAAAGGACTGAGAGCCAGGAGATCTGGATTCTATTCCCAGCTCTGCAAAAGGCTATCTCTCTTTGGGCAAATCATTTTAGTTAAAAATTTTAAACTTGGGTGAACAAACTGGGCTCCTAAATCCAGATGTAAGCTCCTAAACAACCTGTAGTGTCCACTGAAGTAAACAGGATTTAAACTTTAAGCCGGGGGTGAATTTGGCCTTTTATCTGAACTGATCCTGGACCTGAAATTATGGAGTTTCACCCAACATTGTTTTAAAGCCAAGAAAATAAGCAAGTCCATATTACACACATTAAATAAGCATGAAAGGCCTCCTAGCACTCTGGCTTTCAAAGCCAGCCATGGACCAGATTTGTACATAAAATTCTTTTCTACAGTGTTTGTGCTAAGACTTCAAGCCAAATTTAGAATAGATGTAAACAGTAGTGAGTTATGAATAAAGTGTTAACCTTAATGCTAAATCTGCATGCTTTTGTGGGCTTCAGTTAAATTCAAAGTGCCAAATTTTAGAAGGAGATTACAACAGGTGCAGCTGTAAAAATGTATGCTCATCAGCTGGGCTCATAAAAACACACATGTACATGTGCAAATTGGGTTACTGAGCACTAAAATAATGGTGCATGCAAATGGGTTTTTAGACATGAGTCCCTGACTTATACGTGCATATGGTTGTTTGTGTTCTGCTGGGCTTTGCTGAAACAAGGGGTGTTCTCATTATTTTTGTCTGTTCCCCCTTTAAACAGGTTCAACATTTTTCCCAGGAGAACACAATGTTATGACTTAATATTAACTTTTTAGTGGTTTAGTTTCTCTTTTTTTTAAAACTTAAAAATTGTGTAGTAACTGTGATCCAGGGAGTCCCTCAATGCCAACTGGCAGAGGGCACACCGTACCATAACTCACATCAGGCCTGACACACTCATTGCCCCAACACATTCTTGTTATAATCTGTATCTAAAAGGTGTCATATTAGGTATCATATGCAAACTAGTAACATGCTGGTCAAAAATATGTATGGGAGGTGTATAAAGAATTAGAGATGTGTAATGGAAATATGTTCTCAGAAGCTGTTTTGCAAGCAGCGCATACACGCAGCCTGTCCTAAACAAAGGAATGCTGTTTTGCCTGTCTTCCTGCGTATTCACTGTAAATTGATCCAGGTAACATCTGAGAGGACAATAAAAATCAATGAAAGACCTCTGAACAATCACAGGGGATGGAGCCTGCACCCTCAGGAAGCCTTCTGAAACAGAGACAATAGCAAAGGCAGAAAGCCATTTTGGCATCCATGATAGGGGACAAAGGATGAGCAACGTCCTATGAGATAACAAAAAGTGGATCCTCTTAACCTAACAAAAAGAATAGCTGGAATTGACTATAGGTGAGAAATCTGCTTAGATAAAGATTATAAAGTGCTGAAATTAAGTTTTAGTCACTAGAAAGCATGTTTTGTTTGACTTGTAACCATAACTGTGTTTTCTGTTCTACTTATTATAACTTAAATATATGTTCTTTGTTAATGAATAAAACCATATTCTTGGTTTTATTACAAAACCATCTCAGTGCTGTACACTAAACTGAGGGGTGAAGTCCTCAGCTACATGAACAGGCAGGTGCGCTCTGCCTCCTGGGAGACTGTAAACTTAATACCTTCTGTGAGTAACCAGTGAGAGGCACTGGACGCTGCAGGGTAGATGGTTTGGGGGGGATCGGGACCAGAAGCGCTGTTGGTGTCACCCTGCCAGGAGTAACCAGGCTGATGGAAGCTAGGCTGAGGCCATTGGGCTGCAAAGAGGCTACTGGTGTCAGGGCAACGCGCTAAAGCTGCACAGCGCAGATGCACCCCGGGTTACGGGTCAGATGGTGACAGAACCCCTTACTGGTCTGAGTGACCCCCCAGAGTGTCACCGTAATAATCGTGATATTACTCTGTACAGTGAAAGCTCCTGGAATTAACGTTGGTCACATCAACACACTCTGTAGACATTTTAAAACACGATGGGGTCAAATTCAGACTGGATGGAAGCAGACCCAATTTCTTTGACTTCACCCACTTCAACCCTGTTCAATTTGGCATACTAGACTTCTGTGTGAGGCCATAATGACGCTATAGAAGCTAACAAAGGCCACGGGGTAAATGTTAAACATGTTTGATCAGATATACATGTACAAAAACTGCCAAGATCTAAAGACACACTGTTCAGCTTTGTAACAATGTCAGATAAAGGTGAAATAATCAAGTTTATAGTTACTTCTAACCTGACTGGAAACTACTTATTCCATTTGAAGTTCCTGCATATATGTTTATGAATCCTGTGGGTAGAGCCATAATAGACCTAATTTTACATTGTCAATCTTGACCATATGTCTAAGGCCTTGTCTACATACAAACTTGCACAAAAATAACTAAACTGGTTTTAATTGGCACTTTTTGTTATTTCAGTGCAAATTCTGTGTGTGGACAGTTTTATTCTGAAATAAATATACACACACAGGCTTGCACTGAAACAACAAAAAGTGTGAATTACAACAGATCAGTCAGGCTATATATGGGTTTTTTTGCCCCCATATTAGGACACTAGGATATGAAATCAGATTGATACAACTGCATGATTGAAATGCTTTTGCATGGAGCTGGATTACAGCCCACACCTACATACTAGGCAAATAGGCTCCTGTTGAAAATCCTGATGCCAGAGGATCTGCAGGCATTTCCCCTTCCTAGATCCTGGCACCATACAACAATTTAAAGGTATGCTCCACAATGGAATGCAAATCTAAATGTGCCCACGCATACCTCATACTGTAAAGCACATCTGAATTCCTTCGGTGTGAAAGGGCCTGGATATAAAAACAAATTCTGTTCCATCCATCCAATTTCAACATCAACTTTTATCCCCTTAAGCCTTCATAACTTTGCATGTGACTCATCAACAATCATATCACCTCCGGCTGTGATCTTATTATATCTCATTTATAAATTGAGCAATGTTGGACCAGGTCAGTACTTGGATGGAAGACTGCCAAGGAAAACCTCAGGTGCTGAAGGAAGTTGTGTTTGTGATTCAGTATTCTTTTTGAAACAGTATGGAGACATTGCCCCAGCAAGGCACTTTTCTGCTGGAAGTGCTGTATTTTAAATGGGACAAAACAGCATTCTCTAACCGCTTGTGATCACTAAAAATTCTATGGCACTGTATACAAGATCAGAGGTGTTAACCTCACTGTCTTGGCCAAATTCTAGTTTAGATCATTATATTCTGCCTGAGTAAGTTCCTCTGCAGCTTTAACTGGACACAGTATTTTTCTTCAGTTCTTCTCCTAAACTGCTGCCCAGTTTTGTTGTACTCTAAGTTATTTATGTCAATGTATTTAAAATATCCCCATCCAAAACTCTGGGCCCCTGTACAGATTATAATAAAAAAAATCCTTATAACAGATGAACTGGACCAATTGTTCCTTACAAGACAACAACTGGACCAAAATTAAAAATCCTGCCCCCCCCCCCCCCCCAAAAACCGTTCCCTCCAACTCATTCTTCACCCCCTCTCGGCTCCAGGAAAAGCCTGGGAAAACAGATGTGTTTATCTGTTAAATGGCTGCCACGTTCCATTCCCCAGAAGTATCTGTATTTAAGTGAGGTGGCTGGGGGTGGGGGGAGAAATGGGGAGAAATGATTTCTGCACAGTTTGTAATGAGCCTGGTGATTCTTTAGGATGAAAGAAGATGTAGAAAATCCTTTTGTGGAGTTTACAGGAAAGAAACTGTACAAGTTGGGACTGTGCTTGAATATGGTAAGTCAACCTAAAAAACCCCACAGAGTTCCTGAAATACTAAGGAGGCTGAAGCAACTCATTTATGAGTATAGATCTCTCATCTTCCTCCACTAGCAGAGGGATTCTAGTTCTGGTGGAGCTGGGGTAGGGACATGCCAGTTCTGTAACATTATTTTCACCTCCCTAGGACCTCACAAGGTCCTCTGCAAGGATCAAGACCAGAAAGGGGGTGAGAGCGGGGCTATGGATATGACCACAGTCCATGGCATTGTATCCCCAGAAACCTGCACAGAATCAATGAGGAATGCAATGCTCACTCAGTCAGCACTCTTCCTTGTCCATCTCTGTGATGTGAATCAATTCCAGAGAAGAGGTTCTGGGGTAATGCACATCAGTGCATTCACAGGAGCACAACTCCTAGAGAAATCCTTCTGCCATCGAGTCCAGGATCAGTTGGGTTGAAATGGCTATGAAGTATTGCCAAGGCACAGGGCTCCTGGGCAGATTATTCCCAACCATCTGTAGTCAGGACTAACTACTGAAAAGTGTACCGTTGGAGATGATGTATGGCCAGAGTTTGGCCCATGAGGGAGAATGGGGCCATGAGGCACTTGATCTACAACTCCCCTGAGGCACCGCGACTGTGCAGGTGGACAGAGATTAATGTCACCATGACTGGAAACAAAAAACGTTGACATTT